CGGCAGGTGCACGCTCAGCGCCAACGCCAACACCCCCAGAACGGGCGGCTCCTGTAGGTGCACGAACAGCTCCAACGCCAGCACCCCCAGAGCGAGCACCGCCAGAGCCCTCACCTCGAGCACCAACACCCTCAGAGTCCGCAGTGGCCGGCAGAGGAAGCGCTGACGGCTGCTGCGAAGGCTGTGAGGATGACTGAGGGGAGGGAGGAGAGACCTGGGGGGGTACCGAGGGGGGGGGAGTAGCGTGGGACACACCAGACGGAGCGGGAACAGGAGGGGGTACCTGAGGAGCAGGGGCGGGAGGAGGAAGAGCTGGAGCCAGGAAGAGAGGGGGAGGAGGAACCGGGAGACCTCGACAGGGGTACCTGACGTAGTAGGGGACGGACTCGTCGAAACGGACGTCACGAGAGTCAAAGAACCGGTGGGAGGGAGGGTGGTAAAAGGTGAAGTCAGAGGAGTCCTCCGGGAAACCAAGGAAGACACATGGGATGGCGCGAGGTGAGATCTTGTCCGCAGAGGTGTCGCGGACAAGAGCCAAGCAGCCCCAGACACTAAACCTCGACGCAACACCAGGGGACCCTGTCCAAAGACTGGTCGGTGAAGCCCCTGGCCGTGAGACGCGAGGCCAGAGGTTCAACTGGTGAGCGGCGTACCGAGCCGCGTAGGGCCACAGAAAATGGGGCGCGCGGGCGTGGATCATGGAGGTGCGGGCAATCTCCATGACCAGGCCTAGGCGGCGCTCAGCAACCCCATTCTGCCGTGGAGTGTCTGGAAGAGTCCAGGACTGGGTGATGCCCTGCTCAGCACAGAATCTGGCGAGAATGCCGGAGCGAAACTCACCCCCACGGTCGGAGTGGAGACAACTGACACGACGACGGCGAGTACTCTCGGTGGCGAGCAGCCACCGGATCAGCGTAGAAGTCACGTCGGACTTCTTCGCCAAAGGGAACACGGTGGTGTACCGAGAGTAGTCGTCAACGACCACCAGAAAGAAACTCTTCCGCTCAGGGCCAAGCCGGGAAGCGGGGCCCCAGACGTCTAAGTGGAGAGACTGAAAGGGCTCGGTGGCCAGACGAAGGGAGGAGGAGTGAGGGGTGGCACGCAGCCAGCCCTGGACACAAGGACCGCACGGAGGAGCTGGGGACGGCGGGAGTGGCGGGAGGACTCGGGGGAGGCCTAAGACAAGACGCTGACTGGACATAGCGCGGAGACGAGGGAGGGACGGGTGCCCCATCCGGTGGTGCCACAAAACGGTGGGGTGAGCAAGCGACCGGCAGGAGCACGACGCAGCAACTGGACCTGACGTGGGGACCTGACCAGACGCAGCAACTAGACCGGACACAGCAACCTGACTGGACCTGGCGACCTGGTGGGACGGAGGAACCTGACGAGGGTCGGTGTGGAGGGTGTAGAGACCGGAGCCCGGCTCCTGGCGAAAAGTGGCCAAGGGGGCGTACGTGTCACCGTCCACACAGACCGCGGTGTCACCAGAAGGCTCAACCCAGACCCCGACGTGCTGTCTCGCCAGGGGGCCCACACCAACCAGGTTCCTAGAGAACGTAGGAACGTGGAGGCCAGTCAGGGAACCGGAAGGAGCAGCCGGGCACGGGAGCGTAGTGGCGTGAGTCGCAATGACCGGTCCCGAAGAGGGATCGGCCAGTGCTATGGAGACTGGCGCCGGTAGTGGAGAGAGAGTCGTGCGGTTGTGAAAGAAGCACTGCGACGCTCCCAAGTCCAGTGTGAAAGAGAGAGAGGCGTCCGCCGAGGGAGTACCTGTACTAGTAGCTAAGCAAGATCCTACACTAGCACCTACTCTAGCAACAGGCAAAGATCCTAAGCTAGGTACAGGCAAGTACACAGATCCAGGAGCACTATAGTCAACATCAGCATACATGGCATAGGACCTAGCATCATCCATAGTCATATCAAAAACAGCAATACCACGAGCAAGAAGCGTCCCCCAGCGTGGCGGCGGGGGAGCGGAGGGGCCGTGGTGCAAACGGTAGAGGTCGTCGAGACGACTGAAGCAGCGTGCAGCCAAGTGGTCGGGGCGGCCACAGTACGAGTCCCTACGAAGACCTGTAAGGATCCAGTACTCACAGGGACCAACGTCGCGGCCGGCCGAGCGAGGCCCCCGACTGGAGGGGGCACCACTGCGCCCAGTGCTCGGGGGACCAGCAGACCTCCACTGCTGCTGAGGGCCCCACTGCTGCGGCGGGCCCCACTGCTGCGGCTGCTGCTGTGGCGGGCGCTGCTGCTGCTGTCCCTGCCGCTGCTGCTGTCCAGGCGGTGGCAGCTGCTGAGAAGTCGGCTGCTGCTGCTGCTGCTGCTGCTGGAACCCCGCACCCCCAGTGAGAACTCCACCGTCAAGAGGAAGGCCGTCAGGGCCCGAGCCACCCCCACCATTGCTCTCACCACCTGCCCCACCGCCGCCGCCACTACCCGCACCACCCCCAGTACCCCCGCCGCCCTTCCCGCCCTTCTTGCCGGCCTTGCCACGTTTCTGTCCGCCAGAGACAGAAACAGCCGCCGTCTCCTCAGAGGAAGAAGACGTGGGGGTGGCAAGTGAGGCAGTGAAGGTGGGAAGCTGTGGTACCGCACACCCCTCAAAGAGACGAGGAGGAGGCGCGGAAGAGGCAGAGGCAACAGTGAGGAGGTTACTCTCGATCTTCGAGAGAGCGGTCTCAAGAAGATCGATGGTGAGCTCAGTGGGGTGCTTCAGAAGAAGCGCGTCGCGGGCTGTGGCTAGGCGGTCAGGGAGTCGAGTGACTAGCCAGTGAATAGTGAGCCACATAGGGGGCGGGGCAAGGGCAAGCTGGTCCTCAGTGCAAGCAGCGCGAAAGCGAGCGTCAAGAGAGCGCAGGTGGGTAGCGAGGTCAGAGACAGTCTCAAAGGAGGCGAGGTCAGGGTAGATAAAGGGTACGAGGAGGCGACTGAGCGAAGCAGAGGAGGGTGTGGAGTAGCGAGCAACAATAGCCTTATATAGATCTGCAGCAGACTCGGTCTGAGCGAAGTGGACTGCCTCTGTCGGCGGGAGAAGGTCGGTCAGGGCGAGGCAGGCAGCGGCGTCACGAGACTCCCACACGTCACGAGCGAGGAGCTGGCGCTGGTACTCGGCCTCTAGCTCAGGAGTAGGCGGTGGGGTAGTGGGCAGCGGCCGAGGCTGCAGAGGGGCGGTCTGAGCGCCGGACGCGTGTGCGAACAGGTGCACGCCATTATGCCGCTGGCTCTTAAGGTGGCGCTGCGCCTGCGTAAGCCACGTACTAAAGTCAATCGGTCTCCCCTCAGGGTCAAAGCGAAGTACTCGGGAGGTCGCCACAGGAGGCGAAACTGAGAGAGCGCAGCTGCCAGTCGCGGGAGGGGGGAGACCGTGAGTAGCGTGTAGGCGTGCACGCGGGCAGGCGGCGCGGCATATGGACAGGCGGGCGGCGCAGTGCGCTAGTTGGCGGGCGGCGCGGCGCGCTGGCTGGCGGGCGGCGCGGTGAGAAGGGGCGGGGAGGAGGGCGCGACGGTAGGAAAGGGGCGGGGAGGAGGTCGCAACGGTAGGAAAGTGGCGGGGAGGAGGTCGCGACGGTAGGAAAGGGCGGGGAGGAGGGTGCGCGACGGTAGGAAGGGGGCGGGGAGGAGGCGCGACGGTAGGAAAGGGGCGGGGAGGAGGCGCGACGGTAGGAAAGGGGTGGGGAGGAGGTGGGCGACGGGATTGGGAGGGGAGAGGGCGACGCGCGGGGCTGCGGGGCGGCTAAGCGTGCGGCGCGCGGGCGCAGCGGGGCTACGGTGCGACGCGACGAGCAGCGCGCGCGGGGTAGAGCGGGCAGGGCAGAGCCTGCGAAAAAAAAGGGGGGAAAAATGCGAGCTGCAGCAGTGGCGCGCGGCCAGCAGGGGCAGCGCGACTCGTAGGAGGGCAGGGCGGGCGCGGAGTAACGCGGTAACCGGAGGCGATTTTAAGGTGGGCCCTAAAGGAGGTAGGTTTAAGGTCCTAAGGACCTCAAGCTCTATACCATGTCAAGATACTTAGGCTAGGATCAGGGCTGACTATTGAAATAAAACCACTCTGATTGTTTTAGCCCCCCAAAAAAAAATAGTCTGAGGCCCATTTCCCAAAACATGAGCACTCTGATTTTTCAGGAACCAGAGAAAAATAACTCTGAAATTTTTAAAATTCAGAGACTACCATTACACTAAGACAGGTTTTTCTACTAACGGGTCTTTTGCAAAAGTTCCGAGGGATGGGTTTCCCTCGAAGCAATAGGAATGGGTTAGGCGAGTTCGTACTCTGTAGTAAGAAAACTCATTATCCGGTAAGCAAGTACTCTGAAATTTTCAGTATTGAAAAAAACATTAGTCTGAAGCACTCATTTTTCAAAATCAGCCAACTCTGAAAAATCAGGAACGACAGGAAAATAGTCTGAAATTTCAGACAATCAGACTAAAATAGTCTGATATCGTCAGCCCTGGCTAGGATGGTTCATTAGGTCAAGGGGGGGAGTACAAGAATGTCGAGAGAAATTGTGTACCCCCTAGTGTTAACCCCCATATAGCCTATCTAAACTAAACATGCATATAATTGGCAACCCACTAGAGGCTATAACATTTGACACAGACTTGTAACGTGAGTGTAGGCTCAATTCACGCTAGTACAGATTCGTGCTGGAGCCGTGAGATTCGGCTGTCCAGGTACAACCACCGTCAATCACGCTAATGTGGCCATGTACAGCGCCAACGCGGCGAGAAAACGAATTTCCCCGTCGCGTCGGTTGCTTAGTTGTCAGCCTTCGTTTTTTAGAGAGGCTGATTAGTAAGCGTTTTTTTTTTTTTAGACTTGTCTGAAATTTCAGCTTTTTTTTTTTTTTAACCACCTCTGATTGATCAGCCTAGCATAGCCTGCTAAGGCTGACGTATCAGCCAAGCTAAAAACGAATCTGAGGCCCTGGTTGCCACTTTCAAGTTCCTTCGGATTTTGAAAAACCAACTTTCAAAAGTATACTGTTGCTTTAACAAATCTAAAACCAATCGGGCTCGTTCTCACATTCCTCTGCTAGCATCTCTCTGTAATCATCAAAGGCATCTTCAAATGCGTCGTAGTCACCATCATCGTCCTCCATGACACCATCGTCCATGTCATTGTCGTCCATGTAATCATCATACATGTCATCGAGGTCCACGTCATCGTCGTCCATGTCATCCAGCAAGTCATCCCAGTCCTCCATGTCATCAAAGGCAGAGCGCCGTGACTTGTACAAACCAAACAAGTGACCCTGTCCATAAATAACAAAATGAAGTGGAGAGGAAGAGCATGCGTTAGAGAATGAACACACTTTCTGATGTAAGGCACAGAAAGGAAGGTGTATTGTAGGCCGTTATCGGATGGTGAGAGGCACCAGTGAGGGCACGGCGCTCACCTGTGTGCAGATAAAGCAGCACACATCGCCCTCAGCGCAGCCCAGCACGGTGTGAGCGGCAGGTTGCAGCAGAGCAGTGGCGTTCCACGCCTGCCAGCAAGGCACAGGGCACATCAAGGCGGGTGGACACGGGGCGCTGCATGGTGGAAGCCATCATGTGACCCCCGCCCATACTCCCACTACCGGCCCTCCAGTGACAACAGGGGGGTACGGCATGGCATGGCAGGGAACAAACGGGCAGGGCAGGGCGGCTTGGCATGGCATGGTATGGCATGGCATGGCATGGCATGGCATGGCATGGCATGGCATGGCATGGGTGTTAGTGATCACACCTGGCCATGGCAGAAGGGGCACGTTCCCTGGGTAAACGGCTGGCCTTGCAGCAGCCAGCGGAATCTGGGGAAGAGCCATGGGGGGACGCACAGAGGGGGAAGTTATGCGGCACTGCACTGCACACTATACAGAATTGGGCGGTTAGAGGCAGTGAGTGAAAATGACAGGCGCAGCACGGCCCAGCTGACATGGGAACACTCACCACATGCCCACCCTCTCACAGCCAGGCCACACACCCATCCACCATCACCACTGCTCACCGTGACTGCCTGAACCCTGCAATTGCTCCACGCACCACACAGCAGTGATCCATCCCCCTCCAATGCGCCCCACACCCCCTCGTCCGCATCACCACAGCTGCACCCTTCCCCACTTTTCCCTCCCTTATTTCTCCCTCCCTTATTCCTCCTACCCTTATTATTCCCTCCCTAATTTCTCCCTCCCTTACTTCTCCCTCCCTTATTTCTCCCTCCCTTAAGTCTCCCTCCCCCGCTGCTCCCTCCCCCACTTCTCCCACCGTTACTACTTCCGCCCCTTCGTCCTGCTTCACTCCCTCCTCAACTTCCCCCGCTGTCTGTTCCTCTCCCGACGAGGAGCATGAAGGCAGAAGGGGAGTGGAGGTGGTGGTGGTTGGGAGAGAGGTGCGCAGAGGAGTGAGGGGAGGAGGAGGTGATGGGGGGGAGGGAGGGGCGGGGAGGAAGCACTCAGGGCGGAAGAGCTGAGGGGCGAGGTCGGAGCAGAGGGAGCAGAGGTCGTCTAGATGAGGGGCGACTGGGGGAGGAGAAGCAGCGGGTGCGGCGGGCAGAGAGGGATGGGTGTGAGTGGGATCAGTGGGAGCATCCCGTGCTGCACCCTGCTCCCTGCCACTCGCGCTGCCGCTGCCGCCTCCCCCTGCTTCCACGCCGCGCCTGCCCTCCCCGCGTCCCCCGTCACCTCTCTCACACTCTGCCCGCGTGCCCTCCTCAACCCCCCCCTTGCCTCCAACACCGCCCCCCCTTACCCCAATTTCGCTCCCTTCCCCCACCACGCCTTCCCCAACTCCCTCCGCTTCCCTCGGCGCTGCGTCCGCTCCGGTCGTTGAGCCCCCTTCCACCCGCGGCACTGGCGGCGGCCTCGCCGCGTCCCCTCCCAGCGCGGCGGAGCACGCGTGCGTCATTCCCGGGCACGCGCTCATGCACCGCGCCAGACTGCTCGCCGCGTTCCGCGGGGCGTCGGCGCTGCCCGCCTCGCGCACCAGGCGCGCCACCACCGCCGCCGCCTCGCCCTCGTCGGCACGCGCGGCGCGCGAGAGGCAGTAAAGCGGCCAGAGCTCATCGCGGGAGAGACGCGCGAAAGCGCGGGAGAGCGAGGCGAGGCGGGCGATGGTGGGAAGAAGATCGCCGGTTGCGTCGGCCACGCGGAGCAACACATGGCCGTCTAATGCGTCCATGCTCGTGCGATCGCGACAGATTATTTCAGGTTCTCTAACTTGGAGAGCTGGGATGCGTATTTGCCTCTTCCTTTAGTTGATATTGTCGCGAGAATGGAGGAACAAACAAAATCCACTAGTGTTACGAGTGCAATGGAACTAGATAGGTAATAGTAATGCACTAGGGTGTCAAAAGATAGAGAGTATGAGCGAAGGCATGAGCGAATACTTATACCGTCATACCCCGGATATACCCCCATGGGGGGCACTAATAAAACGTTTTTTTTAGGGGGGTGGGCTTATAATCGAGTAAATTTATAAGCGCCGACGTTTATAAAACGACATATACATTTTTTATATTTTTTAACACCAAACTGTAGATCTCGTGCTTGCCTTTTCAATCGAGACAAAGTTACATGGGGTCGTCTGTGAAATTCTCGCGCGCGCTGGGAGATACGCTCGATCTGACAGCCCCTGACAGCTTCCTGTTAGAATCTAGCAGCAGGAATGGATGAACTAGCAGGATGCAGGAGTACAAGTAGAAAACCCTAATTGGGTTGTACCCCATATGGGCTACCCCACTACAGCCTAGACAATATGCAGCACATATAGTTTGACACACCCCCATAGGCAAAGTGGGGGAGAACAAGGGGTCACACGACCAGTCAAGAGAAGCAAAACAAGCTCAGGGTGGTGTCAGAATCCCAGCCACTAACCACTAGGATAAAAGGGCTTGTTTGTATAGCGGGTGAGTGCGCCCATAACCCCCCAGGCCGACATGCCTGTAACCCTTCCCTAGGATCATCGGGGATCCCCAGTGGACCTCTGACACCCCCCCGCACTGGGATGCCCGAGGTGCACACACCGGGATTCGAACTCGAGACCTTCGCTCTGATACCATGTCAGAATCCCAGCCACTAACCACTGGGATAAAAGGGCTTGTTTGTATAGCGGGTGAGTGCGCCCATAACCCCCCAGGCCGACATGCCTGTAACCCTTCCCTAGGATCATCGGGGATCCCCAGTGGACCTCTGACACAGGGTGGATCACAACGTCACCACGCATTCCGAGCACAAGCAAAGGGCCACAAGGCCAGTTCACATGCAGAGATATATATGCAGCAATAACAGTACAGTGATGGCTACCTAGCAAGAGCCAGCATGCAGGTATATATATAGATCACAGTACAAGCAGAGACTACAGCAAGTGTGGAAACGTAGGCACAAGGCCCAACAGAGTACAAAAGCGCTGATGATCACCAGACGGAAGTACCTTGGTGAATATATCAGCAGTGTTGGCCCGAGTGGCCACGTGGCGAAGACGAAGCTGGCCTCGCTGCTGCAACTCTCAAGCCAGGAAGTAACGCAGAGCAATGTGCTTCGTTCTGTGCTCCAGTCTGTGCTCCTCACACAAGGCAATGGCGGCCTTGTTGTCGACGTACAGCACTGGAGGAGAACGAGGCTGCTCTCCCAAGTCAGTCAGCAGGTAGGTGAGCCAGCGTAACTCCTGTGCAGCCATGGCTGTGGCGTAGATCTCAGCCTCACAACTGGAGCTGAGAACTGAAGACGAGCGTGTAGAACGCCACGAAACTGAACCAGAGCCAAGGCTGAAGGTGTAACCCTGAGACGACCGCTGAGTAGCCTGGTCGTCAACCCAAGAAGCGTCTGAGTGCCCAGTGAGGACAACTGGGCTCGTCCCTCCAAGCACTAGCCCCATGCCTGATGTGCTGCACAAGTAGCGCAGTACCCTCTTAGCAGCAGCCATGTGCTCAGGTCGGTGCCGACCAGGAGCCACGTAGCGAGCCAGAAGACCAAGAAGGTACGCGAGGTCAGGTCGAGTGCAAGTCATCAGGTACATGAGGCAGCCGACTAGCTCTGGGTAAGGACCACTCGGCTCTACGGACTCGTCCGAAGGTGGAGCTGAGAGCGTGTGACCTGTAGCCAGAGGAGTGGCCTGTGCTGAAGACCAGGTGAAGCCGAAGCACTGAAGGACCTGCTGCACCATGTGTGACTGAGTCAAGGTGATGGTGCGGCGTGCTCTGTCCCGGGTGATCTGCAAGCCAAGGTAGCTGCGCAGCTCACCCAAGTCTGTGCACGTGTGTCTCTTCTGCAGCTCCGACTTCACGTGGGCGAGAGCCTCAGTGTCAGCAGTGGCAAAAACCAAGTCGTCGACGTACACGAGGATGTAGAACGGCGGCAGTGAAGTGTCGGTGCGCAGAAACAGCGACGGGTCAGCAGTAGAAGGCGCGAACCCAAGAGCCGCAAGCGTAGTCCTCAGTGTGTCGTGCCACTCACGTGGCGCCTGGCGGAGACCGTAGACCGGCCGGCGGAGGCTCCACTGGGTACCAGGAGGGAACGACCCAGTGAAGCCCGGGGGGTGGCGCAGCCAGATCTCCTCGTGCAGGCTACCCTGCAAGAAAGCTGTGCTGAAGTCAAGAGAGTGAAGCTCGTAGTCACGGTGAGCAGCAACGTGCAGCAGCACCCGAAGAGTGGTCATCTTCGTGGTGGGGGAGAAGGTCTGGAAGAAGTCAACTCCCTCTTGCTGACTGAAGCCTCGAGCAACGTAACGAGCCTTGAAGACAGGCGGAGAACCTGGCGGCTGCTTCACCCTGAAAATCCACATGCCACTGACGATGTTCGCCCCAGGAGGGGGAACCTCGTCGACGTAAGTGCCAGTGGACTTCCAGGATGCCATCTTTGCGTCCATGGCTGTCTGCCACTGAGAGGAGTACTCACCCGTGATCGCCTCAGCGTAAGAGCGCGGGGTCGGGATGTCTGGTGCATCCGGGTCTCCCTCAGGGGCAAGCAGCATGGCAACGAGATGAGGCGCAGCGGCTGCAAGACACTCAAGGTCCTCGTGCCTGTCCTCAAGGACGTCCGTGCTAAGAGCACACTCACCCCCGACGGACGGAGGACAGACAGACTCAGACTCAGCAACAAGACTGGCAGCGAAGTCTAGACGACAGGCAGCAGCAAAGTCAACAAGCTCAGCGACAAGAGCAGACGCAGCAGTAGATTCAAACGACGGGTCAGTGACAACAGTGGCTAGTAGACGCGTGACAGTAGGGTGCTCAGCACGAAACCGGTCAGACGCAGGGTCCGGAACGTCAGGCAACGAGGACGCAGGAGGAGACGGCAGAGGAACAGGCTGCGGAGCAGAGGAAGGACGACGGACTACGAGGTGTGCGCTGGGGACAGCCGGCTGACGCGAACGAGAAACACGACGACCGGTACGACCAGGACGAACAGGCGAAACAGGACGCGACGCAGGCTCACGACGCTCAGCAGGACTACCAGTCTGCTCAGTGTAAGGAGAAGGAGCAGGCAGCGGTGAGCCAGGCTGTAACGGAAGACCAGTAGACGACGGGAGAGTA